TATATGTCAAAACGTAAGTTCAGTGGTAGAGTAGCTTATTTTCTTACTACTTCATACCATTCATATAGGTTGATTGCTAAGATTCTCCAAGTCGTAATATTTGTTGGTTCTATTTTGTTCCTATTGATTACCATGATTGTGGTTTCAGCTGGTTGGGGAAAGACCTGTGCTACATACAAAAACATAACAAGCTCAGGTGGTACTCCAAGCTCACTCTTTAACATTGACTGCACTGGACCACAATATATCTATGGTTCTAGAGGTAGCCCTTTTCCACCAAATGGTGCAGAAATCATAACTGCTGCTGTAATTAAGCTACAGTCACATGCTAATAATAATTATTTTCCTGATAGGTATTTGCTGGTGTTGGTGCTCTGTTTGCTGCTGGAGCTCTTTGTGTCTATATTGCACAACAACAGTACATCAGGTCTAATGACGAGAGCTTTTTTTCCAGGGAGCTGAGCACTAACATGGAGAGCAATGACAATGATGATTAATTTCCTTTTAGCGAATTAGTACTGAAGCTTTCTTTATCCATTAATTAAATAGATTTGAAACAAATGTAGTGCTATTGTTATTTTTAAGTGATACATCTAATTCTTATTGATTAATTTTTGGAGTAAGGGAATTTCTTTTAAATTAACAGCAAGCATTCACATATATTGTTGCATTGATGAATGTGGTAATAACTGAATGCTACAATTCAATTAATGCCATTCCTATAGACGTTGCTTGCACTCTCGAATTTATGTGGGCATATTATGCTACAAATAAATTTTAAGAGTTTAGTTTCTAATTGCTGCAATATGATATATGTGGAAGATTTCATTATCTTTATGAAAATACCACGGGCAAGTGGCTGATTGATGGGGCTACAGGGGAACTACTGCACTTCTATAAGCTTAATACATGTATAGCCATTTATGAATGCTGTACTACGGTAGTTTGTCAGAGGATCTTTAAAAAGTCTCTAAACCATTCATGAATATAATTCTGTTTGATGTTAATAATATGAATGAGGTGTCCAAATGCTATGGAGACCGCTATATAGAAGTCATTCACCAGAATACTAACAGTAATTTCAGCCATAAAACCACGAGGAAGAGCATCAGGTGGAACATCAAGTATAAGACCATATTCCTCCAAGTGTAACTGGTACATTTGCTTGAGCCTAATTAACCACTTATCATAGCTATATCTCCATGAATATGTATAAAACAGATAAACACCTCCTATGAGGCTTTTATGGAATTTGTAAACAGAGGGCAAAGTCCTCAGTTTACAAATTCCATAAACACTTCATAGGAGGTGATTATCCATTATAAAATATGCAATTTAATGGTCTTGCTTTTATATTATTAGCAGATAAAGTTATTTCAAGACTTTTAAACCATTGAAATTGATGCAATCCTGTTTTAGTGAGTGACATGAAATATCATTATGTACTAACAAATGCATACAGGCATATAATATGTAAGAAGAGTACTATAATAACTGCTGATGAAATCTACTTTGATTACATGTATAAGGTATGGGTCAAAGGACACACACAAAAATACATTATTAGGAACACTATAACAACACAATGCCAGGATTGGAGTAATTAGTAGATGCCTATAGCCATTTTTGACTGTGCTATAGTACAGGGACTTTGGCCCCAATTCAAAGCAATTTTAAAAATTCATAAAAATCCAAATTTGATCAGAATTAACTTTCATAAGTACATGTAGTGCAGTCATTTTTGACAGAGTTTGGCAAGTTTGAGCAAAAATTCATCAAAATTTCTATGCAACACAAGAACATGTACCTGTATAGCATCAGAAAAATTATAAAGATGGAAAATTTTTTCCTTCACAATGCTTGTAACAATCAACAGACCACTAATTATTATTATGTGAGTGTATCTGTAATACACAAACTGTCACAAAATGTCTATATCGGCATCATTTACAGAACCACACATGCATAACATGCTTTTGTTTACAATAAATTAGGTAGTGTAGCTAGTAGTGGTATTTTATAGAGTAGGGATACCATACATAAAACAAAAGCCAAAGCCTCCCTCCCACCAATCAAAACAATAATCATTCACATCCGGACATTTACATTTGGGCATTATTTCATTTGAGTAAGTTTATAAGTAGACATTGATATGTGGTGAACTATAAAATAAAGAAAAAAGTTAATATACACACAGTCACTAATGGATGCACATCAAAGACACTGAAACTACTTTATCATGGTTTCACATTACAAAGACATTCATGCACAGCAAATATACAATAACTATTTTGAAATAAACAACTTAATTGGTACATGCTGTTATATTTTCAATCTTCATTTATCATGCAGCATGTGAGTAATAATAAAAGCATTCACTACGCTAAGCTGCAAACCAGCATTAGCTAATCGTTGGTAAGAAAAACTTATCATTAGTTCTCAGTAGTGTTCAGAATGGAGGTGTGGCTCTTCAAACTTTTCATGGATATAAAAAGATAGATCTAATAACTTGAATATTATCAGTGCAGACAATATCTTTATACAAGCATGCCTAGAGCATCCACAGTCAAGCAGGTCCTTTCCTTAGTCACTTTTGTGATACTTCTATTGTCATTGGGAGCTGCTGGTACTTCTCTTGGTCTCATTCGAACTAACACTAATGATGGGGTAACATGTTATTTTTTCATTACTTATGCTCAAGCTATGAACTCAAGTCTGGTAGATTATAATGTACCCACTTGTAAGTTGAGTGTAGCAAGTGCTACCATTGCTACAATATGTCTGGCTCTGCTAACTGCCATTGAGCTAATCAGTGTTTTATTTCAAATAAATATCAAAATGTAAGTTCAATATAGCTTATTTAATTATTTGTATAATTGTATTCCATTTTAGGTTGATTGCTAACATTATTCAAGTTGGATTCTTTATTGGTTCTATTTTGTTCCTATTCATTACCATGGTTGTGGTTTCAGCTGGTTGGGGAAAGACCTGTGCTACATACAAAAACATAACAAGCTCAGGTGGTACTCCAAGATCATTCTTTAACATTGAATGCACTGGACCACAATTCTTTCGCGGTGAATTGCTAAGAGGACCATATCAACCAAATGGAACAGAGATCATAACTGCTGCTGTGAGTAACAGAATACAAGCTATGACTAATATTTCCCAATAGGTATGTGCTGGTTTTGGTGTTTTTTTAACTAGTGGAGCTTTTTCATTGTTGTTTATGCAACAACTATTTCGTGTGAGGCCTCAGAATCAAAGGTTTCAATCTGATGGTCATGAAATTGCCTTGAAATGAACTGATTAGCTCTAAAACATAACTCTGCAAGCATAATTGTATTTTCGTTATAGAGTGTAATAGTTATTTCAGTTATTGAAAGTTTTTTTGCATCCTAAAATCAAATACACAGTACATAAAATCTGTCACTTGACGACATATCAATAGTCTTTCTATAGAACAATTAATGCATAATTTGTTTTGTGTATCATTAACACTGTATCATGAGTGTCTGGAGGAGTGTTGTGTGATTGTTAGTTTTACAGTTATTATTGTCATTTGACAAGGTAAAGAAGCATTATCATTGTATCACATTTTTGTAGTAAAAAATAACAAGGCCTATTGTCAACAACTGTACTCTCACCATTGTAGAGAGTTCTCACTATTTCATCATGTATTAATGTTAAATTGTATTTTTACAATTACAATACATAATCATAAGTAACATATGCCACACAAGTTCCTTTATGTGTTACTGAGCGATCGTTAAAGTTTTTTCTTCATTGTCACATGTAATAACTGTTCATAGTGTTACTCTACTACTGCTATTATGTAATTCCAGTTATAATGACTAAATTTCGTCATTTCATAGAAGTTCATTTCTCTCTCTCTCTCATGCAGTCTTTTTATGTGAAATACAATATACAAGAGGATGTACCATATAGTGTCAATGATATGATCTTTTGACAGTAGATCAATAAATGGCTCATTAAAAACAAATGAACAATCATTAGTAGCAATCCATATCATTTTAGTATTTAAAAATGTTTACAGTTCCCAATTAAGTACCATATAGTGTCAATGATATGATCTTTTGACAGTAGATCAATAAATGGCTCATTAAAACAAATGAACGATCATTAGTAGCAATCCATATCATTTTAGTATTTAAAAATGTTTACAGTTCCCAATTAACTAGATCCAATAATACAATATACAAGAGGATGTACCATATAGTGTCAATAACCAGGGGCGTCGCTGGCCTTGAAAGATTGGTGGGGCAAAAATAAGGGAAGAATTTTTTTGTGCACAAAGCGCGTGAAAAATTTTGCTGTATCTAATCAATATTCATAGTGGGTGTGGCCAATTTGGTTAATTAATCGATTAGTGACACCCTAAATTCATACGGCGTTCAATTCCAGCAATAAAATTGCTCAACTACCGACTGTAATCTACATTATTAGTTAGTTGTTGGTGTATGTGTAAAGAAGTAAACAGTAATTGAAAGTTATAACTTAAATTAATAATTTAATAACTAATTTTAATAAAAATGGCTACTGATCTTCAAAATATTGGTAGGGCAATTGCCCTACCTGCCCCTTAGGCAGCGACACCCTTGCAATGATATGATCTTTTGACAGTAGATCAATAAATGACTCATTAAAACAAACGAACAATCAGTTTTTAGCTATAGTAGCGATCCATATCATTAAGTATACATGGTACATGTATATATACTTCAGAATATTAAAAATTATAGTTGCACCAGTATACTGAAACTATAAAACCTGATTCCAGTTCACACTTCTTAATTAGCTTGCACTAATTCACACTAGCATATGCTTTCAGCTGTGTAAAGTAACTAACTACTAACTCCTAATTAAAATTTGTGTTCCCTGGATTTGTTATAACTTTGAATTGAAAGAATATAATAGCATTAGTAATAGCTAAGGCCTCTGCTTTCAATGTTCACATATTACTCAGAAAATAAATATAATAATTATGCTCTAATATTAGAGCTTCTGAGTATAGGCCCTAGGGGCTGGACCACAGAAGCAATTCTCAGTTATAAATCATGCTGAAGATTATGTCATTTCCTGTCTGTATTATTGAATCTATTCTTCCTGAGTTCAGGGAAATATGATGAACTTTATAATAGAAACCACAGGCATGCAGACATGGGTAAACATTGTGGTAAGACTGGTATGCTACATATGTATATAATGAGCAGTCACTAGTATTTTCTTCATTAACTAGATTATTGTAAGAATGATAGAAGTTAAACAATTCCTATGGAAGATCACTTTACTTTCCTTTCTTATCTGTTCACTGGGAGCAGCAGGAGTATCATTCGGTCTCATCAAAGCTAACACTGAGAGTGGGACAAAGTGCAGGCTCTTCATCACTGACTCTCAAGCTAGAAACAGGAGCTTGCTCAACTATAATGTATCGACTTGCCAGCTGAGTCTGGCCAGCATCATTATTGCTACAATGTGTCTAGCTCTCCTAACTTTCATAGAGCTAGTCAAAGTTGTATCAAGAAGAACAGAACCACTGTAAGCTCAGACCACTCAGATATATATATAATTATTGTTACTCTTTGTTGCTCTATAGGGCATTGCCAGTTAGAATAGGACAGATACTATACTTAATAGTGGCCATTGTCTCTTTATTCATTACTACATTTGTGGTTTCAGCTGGTTGGGCAAAGACCTGTGAGACATATAGTAATCTAAAAGAGGAATCTGATTTCACTATTAGCTCTTTTAGTTGTACTGGATACCAGTATGGTGGTCAGGGTTTACCTCATGGTGGAGAGCTCATAACATCTGCTGTAAGATTATTTCATTATTGGTACTTACTATTATTAATTCATTTTTGTTATTATGCACAGACATTTTCTGGGATTGGTATCCTGTTGGTATTAATATCCATGCTTACCTTTGTCCTCCAACAATACCGAGAAATAGTCCATGCTAACTACCAGTATCAGGAAATAAATGAAGAATCATTATAAAGAGAAGAACTAGAAGTGCTATCTTCATTTTCAAAATAGCTCCATATATAGTTATCTATTTATTCCTTTAAATTATTGAATTGAAATTATTTAGAAACCAAAAGTGCCACATTAAATACATTCACAGTAAAAGTAAACATTGAAAGCAAGCACTATAAAGTTATCCTTTCAGCTTAAATAAAACTTTGTATACACTACATGAATAGGATGTTCATATTACTGATGTGTCTGATCATTGACAAAATAAGTACCCATGCATGAATGTTGAACAATAACATATCTTATTAGCTACATATAGCAAGGAATGAAAAGTATTTGTCAGTGAAGTATGATGCAGCTATTTCATGCCTAATTTGGTAGCAATGTGAATCCCCCACACTTATGACCAATGAGGCCAACAGTCCTAACATGCCTTGTCCAACAGGAGTCACTGACTTGCTACTACATGTACTACATGTAAATGTACTTTGACATGATCCTATTATAATTATTAATACTCTTGCCAATACTCCTACACATAAGGGGAACAACCTTTGGCAGGAAGAGTTAGATTAAAGGAAATTCTCATGTATCATATACAACACAAAGTTAGTATATCAGTACATTAATTTAAACTACACCCACATTAATTAGTGTATGTGGTAGTGTCATGGAATAATTTGTTGTCCGGGCTACTATATATACACAGTACAGTTTAGATTAGGTCATTAGGGTTGGGTTGGGGTTTAGTGTTTATATTTATAATACACGTGGAAGTATAGAGCTAGGACAATTTTTTGCTCCGGACAAAAAATTTCGTGACAGTAGCATCAAAGTACTGGAATAGTGTAGAAAACTTGTACATCAAAGAAAATACTTACGTCTAAGTATTAATGGCTCATAGGATGTTAGGTCCATCTAATTCTGTCATTATTGGCCAGTAATTAACAAAGTCAGTTGATGCCCGCGAGCACAATATTATTTCTGCTGAAGCTTCACTTCCTGATCACAAATAGATCAATTATAATGTTTACTATCATGTTAATTACCTTAATGAATTCTTAGAATTTTGACCCACATGTTGAAATTGGCGCAATTTGGCGGATTTTTTCGTAAATCCCGTAATCTATAGCATTATTTAGTATACTAAAACCACGTGTAGATGCATGGGAATTTTAGGCGTGGTTTTACACTCTCAAGCCACGCCTAAAAACATGGCGTTCCTCAGAGCTTTGCTAAAGTCATCTCCAGCTTTAAGATTATGCAGATTTTGCACAAGTAAATAATAAAGTATGTATTGCTAGAGATTTTGATACTTTTTAATTTTAGATACAGTAGCAAAAGTTGACATATCATTTGAGGAAAACAGCAATACAGCATCTGATATATATGATAAATTCAATATAAACGAAATTGTAACTGTTAGGAAGCTTTTTGAGGCCAGAATGCACCTGGGCCACAAACATGGCGTGTCCAACCAGTTGATGAAGGATTATATTTGGGGTCTACGAGAGAAGATACAAATTTTTGATTTAGATATCACTTCTGAGCATTTGAAGCGAGCACTGCTGGTTGCAGGACTGATAGCAGAGAAAAAAGGTAATTCATAATTGTTATTGATAATAATTATTATACTGGTGATTTTTAAGTAGTTAAAATAATATCATTCGCCGAAACAAAACTAGCCATTTTGATTTAAATTAATATGCAAATGCTTTTTGCTTTGTACAAATTATTTGACAAATTAAAAATCACCAATGACTATAATCAAGAATAGTCTTGCTATAATTTAGCCAAGATTTATACAGGCCCTCCAAAATACCGTATAGAAGGAAATTTTGGAGGTAGTTAAAGTTGGCGAATTTGGCGTTTTGATAGCCATTCGCCAAAATAAAATCTGCCATTTTGAGCCATTATGCGCATGCTCAATGGCACATGGCCACAAATTCGCCAAATTAAAATTCGCCAATCACCAAAATTTAGCAATTCGCCAAAATTTAGTCCCTCCAAAATTTCCTACTGTACGATATTAAGCTAATGCATGTGGAATTTTTAAATAACTCTTTTGTTCCTCCTCTCTCATATTTGACTCTCTCTGTCTCTTTCACTCTCTCTCTTTAACTCACTCTCTCTCTCTCCCCTCTCTTCCAATTAGGAGTCATTCTCTTTGTTAACAGTCGCTCTCAATTTGATAGACTAATCCGTGACACAGCCACTGATTGTGGCGAGTACTACCTAAGCCCCACCTGGCGACCAGGGACCTTCACAAACTCACAAGTGATGCTGAAAACCTGTCGACTCCCTGATCTTGTCGTATTACTCAATTGGCATACCAATGTCCAGGCAATCCGTGAATCCATAATGTGTAATATACCAACAGTTTGTCTCACTGACAGTGACAGTGATCCAAGACTTGTCACTTATGCTGTACCCGGGAATGACGATACGCCTTCATCTGTAAAGTTTTTCTGTGAAGCATTTCGTGATGTCATTAGGAATGCCAAATCAAATGTAGACAGTGAATGAGAGAGACTGTTATCATTGTCATTGTATTATAAAATGATTCTTTTCATTAACGTCTGAAAGTTGATACGTGAGTTAATTAATAGAAAGTGGAAAATACTTCATAAAAATTGCTTTTTTAAGCAAAAAAATAATTGTAAAATATAAAGTGACATTTTCACATCCTACGAATTTAAGATACTATTACTAACTTTATTTTAAGCAAAAAAATTAATAATTGTAATAACCGAGAACTATGATACACTATTGCCAAAAGCAATATAATTATTAGTGAGAGTGCCAGCTCTTAATACAATGTCTTCCTATTCTTATCTTGCAGTAGCTTATAAAGAGGGACGGGAGGGATGGGGGATACTTCTTCTGTGTCACACGACACCATAATGTAAGCAGTGCTCTTATCAGTGTGATATGCTGCAATGAGTTCACTAATTGGACTATATAATTAGAGGGGCTTACTCTCTGAAGTGTAGTGATTGTATTGACATATCCCATGAATTAGCATCCTATGGTAACTTAGAAGAGAGAGAGAGAGAGAGGATAAAGAAATAATTATCATTTTGATTTTGCTTTCTCCTGACCACTGCTCTCTCCTTCAGTCCCTCCCTCTCTCTCCCTTCCTCCCTCTCCCTCCCTCTCTACCTTGTAAGTCCTAAATAAACTATAATAGATGATGGGTCATCGTCAAAATATTCATAAAGTTCTTTCTCTATATCTTCTATAAAGCCCTAACAGAAAGATACTTCATATCAAAATATGTACATGAGTAAAAAATAAATTTTAGTAATCAGAAAATAGCTACTGAGGAAAAATATACTTTATGTACATGCACATGCTTTAGTTAAGGCTCTCGGTACAATAAATTTATGCTAAAGGTGTACAGTGATTAACCACCTTATCAAAGTCACATATATGTATTATTGTTTATACATGTACATGTACATGCATTTGTGCGTGAATATCATATTATGTCTATGTACTTGCGGTAGACGTTTATCATGTAAGAGTAAACTACGAATCTGTGGAGTAATCCTTTCAAGTGACTCATAATATTTATCTTTCTTTATCTTCTTTCCTTTCCTAGTACTCACTGTTTCCTTTCTTAACAAATCAAACTGTTCCTCTTCGCCTAGTTTGGAGAATCTCTCCCATAGCTATAGCACAGAAAAATTAATTAATTACAATAACTTTTAAGCATTTGAAGAAATATGCTAATTTCTAAAAATTACCCTGTACTATAGCCCATGTTTTTTTCCAAAAAATGGCTAAAAAATCGGCCCAAATTTTTATTACATTTTCTGATATATATTGATGTCCTTATGATGTGTAGAAAGTTTGAAATAATTCCGACTTGAATTGTTCGAGTTATGGCCAGTTTAAAAAATTGGCCAAAATCTGAAAATTACCCTGTACTATATATAGCCCATGCTTTTTTCCGAAAAATGGCTAAAAAATCACCCCAAATTTTTATTACATTTTCTGATATATATTGATGTCCTTATGCTATGTAGAAAGTTTGAGCTGATTCTGACTTAAATTTTCAAGTTATGGCCATTTTAAAAAATTAGCCAAAATCTGAAAATTACCCTGTACTATAGCCCATGCTTTTTTCCGAAAAATGGCTAAAAAATCGCCCCAAATTTTTATTACATTTTCTGATATGTATTAATGTCCTTATGCTATGTAGAAAGTTTGAGCTGATTCCGACTTAAATTTTTCAAGCTATAGCCATTTTTAAGAATATGCAAAAATCTGAAAATTACCCTGTACTATAGCTCATGCTTTTTTCTGAAAAATGGCTCAATAATCACCCCAAATTTTTTATTACATTTTCTAATATATATTGATGTCCTTATGCTACATAGAAAGTTTGAGCTGATTCCGACTTAAATTTTTCAAGTTATGGCCATTTAAAAAAAATTAGCCAAAATCTGAAAATTACCCTGTACTATAGCCCATGCTTTTTTCTGAAAAATGGCTAAAAAATCACCCCCTTTTTAAATTACATTTTCTAATACAGACTGATGTCCTTATGCTATGTAGCAAGTTTGAGCTGATTCCGACTTAAATTTTTCGAGTTATGACCATTTTAAAAAATTGGCCAAAATCTGAAAATTACCCTGTACTATAGCCCTGCTTTTTTTCAAAAAATGGCTAAAAAATCACCCCCATTTTTAATTACATTTTCTAATACAAACTGATGTCCTTATGCTATGTAAAAAGTTTGAGCTGATTCCGACTTAAATTTTTCGAGTTATGACCATTTTAAAAAATTGGCCAAAATCTGAAAATTACCCTGTACTATAGCCCATGCTTTTTTTCCGAAAAATGGCTAAAAAATCGCCCCAAATTTTTATTACATTTTCTGATATATATTGATGTCCTTATGCTATGTAAAAAGTTTGAGCTGATTCCGACTTAAATTTTTTGAGTTATGGCCATTTTAAAAAATTAGCCAAAATCTGAAAATTACCCTGTACTATAGCCCATGCTTTTTTTCAAAAAATGGCTAAAAAATTGCGCCAAATTTTTATTACATTTTCTGATACATATTGATGTCCTTATGCTATGTAGAAAGTTTGAGCTGATTCCAACTTAAATTTCTCGAGTTACAGTGTATATAGCCATTTTGAAAAATAATTATGCCAAAATCTAAATAAAATCCCAGGGCTATAGCTCATGCACATAAAAACTGCACCTCTAACTTCTATCTGATACATATCGTTAAAACCTTACACTATGCAGAAAATTTGAGCCATTTTTAACGTTATTATTATTATTATTATTATTATTATTATTATTATTATTATTATTTCTCTCTCACTATTTGTTTGTGATTATCCGATAATACTTGAGTGAATGAGGTATGGTGCTGTGGGGCTATCGTCTGATAGTCTTCCTCTATCTCTTCCTCTGTCAGGGGGAATAGAGTCTTGAGAAACAAAGCTAACAATTAAAATAATAAAAAAATATAAAGTATTTTTAATTTGAAGATTCATGTTACATCAATATGCATTTAAATATTCATTGCATTGTGGCATTGACACAATGCTTAGCATGTGAAGAACAGGTGTGTATTCATCATAAACCATGAATTCATGTACAACATGGTCTGTTTGCATGCTTTGCATGTGACAATCATAAATATGTAAGTACATGTACATGTGTTCATTGACCTTAAACTATAGACACATACATCGTAAGATATACGTTTATTATGACCTTCAACTCACATGTACTCTAAATACATGTACACCTACTCTAATACATCTACATACATGTACATGTTCATGTATTGTACGTCAAGATATAGAACTTTCGGAATCTGTAAGTTTAATTTTCATAATTGTCATGTCATGTACATGTAATTTCATTCATACTAACAGTTTTCGTATCTCCTAGTGTGTCTGCCTCCTCTCAGGCTCCGGCCAGTTGTAGGACTAAAGAACAAGTGGGAATGAGGTCTGGGGTATTTAATAGGTCGTGGTCTAGTTCTAAGAGTGGAGGATGAGTGGCTCTCTGCTGGTACAAGTGGTATTTGGAGGTCCTCTATCTCATCGTCTGCGCTCTCGTTACTTTGATACCCGTCCCTGTTGTCCCTTGTCGAGGAGTAAGAGGAGCTGGGCCTAACAAGAGGCATGGAGAAAGAAGAGAATGCTCCACTCTTTGTTTACAAAAAATGTAGCTAATTAAATTAGTTTAAACCACGCCTCTCACTATGCTCAATTAATGAATAATGAATGCCAATAAGTAACCACGTGTTCTCATTTTGTCATGGAGAATGATGTGATTATAAAGAGAAAAGTAAGGTTTTAAACTCAACAAGAAACTAGTCAATTATCCTCTATTTAGGACGGATTACTTGCTGTTTCCACGGAAGTAATGGCAAGTACTAAAAGGTGAATTAATAGGTTTTTTTGGTAAAAAATAAATGTCTTTTTAATGAAAGATTATTCTCATTTTTGTCATTGGAAGAGACCTATAAAGACAGGGCTAGAGATCCAGAGGTGCATTCTAATTTTCCCTTTTTTAAATTTATCATTTTAAAGATTGTATTTCTTCCGTCACGGAGGAGTTTGATTGACGAACTGCTAGTTCTCTTAGTTGATAGCGAGTGTGTACTATTAGAAGGTGAGAGCGGGTCTGGTAAGAGCTCGTTGCTTCGTTTTTTGGCAAAACTTCATCAAAAGGAAGAGGACCTGATAATTGTACATTTAGGAGAACAGATTGATAGCAAGGTATCAATTTTAATTGTAAAAATTAATAATATTAACATTAAAAAAGAGGATAATATAATGTTAAAATAGTTTTAATATTAAACAAGAGGATTACTCAAAAATAATCTTAATATTAATATTTAATTGAGAGTATTATAATTCTTTATAGGTTTTATTGGGTACGTTTAGTTGTACAGCTATCCCTGGTGAATTTGTATGGCTTCCTGGAATATTGACGAAGGTACTTCACTTCTAATACAAGTAATGTGTTATTGTTCTTGTCTTTAGGCAGTCCTGGCTGGGCAATGGATTGTGCTTGAGGACATTGACTTTGCACCACCAGATGTGGTTAGTCTCTTTCTCTTTTTCTTCCTTTTCTCCGTGCTCTTTGTAGTACTGTAAATCCAAGTTTAATGTAATTTAGTAACCTTTATGTACAAACCAAATGTACATGCACATTGACAAATCATATTTACGACCATTAACTTTAACGAAATTGGGCCAAAGGTTTAAATGGTTAAATTTATGGATTGCAATTATTAATGGGTTTATAGTATTAAGTTGTTCAAGTACATCTATTTAATTTATTTATTTATTTGTTTTTTTGTACTATTAAGCAAGTTTATTAAGTGACTTTTTAATTTATATAATAACTTTATTAGATTTCTCTATTGCTACCATTAATCAAGACATCCACCCTGCTATTACCTGGCTATACCGAGCCACTGAGACCTGCCGAAGGCTTCAAGTTATTTGCTAGCAGGAGGTTAGGAAGAGGAGGGAGGAAGGGCTTAAGACAGATGGGAGGGATACTCTCTGTCCTGGAGAATAATGTAAAGAGAGTATTTGTACCTCAGTACGAGACTGAGGAATTAATTGAGGTAAGAGCGAGGGGTTAAAAAATTGTATGTTCTACACTGTACCTTATAATATTATGTACCGTATTTTACCGTATAAACGCCTGGTCCAAATAAACGTCTGTCATTAATATATTCTAGCTATAGATACGCATATTTGTACCAAAAATAATGCTCCAGTGTTTAGATAGCTCCAAAGTGCTTATTAGAGCCTGATCCAACTTGCCTAGAGTTGGCGGTTCAATCCCACTCAAAGTATCTTTTTTATTTATTTTTTTCAATAAAATTTTTGGTTGCTAGAAAATAAACGCCCAGGCGTTTAATTGGTAAAATACGGTCCATGTACACATACATGTAATAAGTGACCAGTTGTGTAGATAGCTGCAACGCAGTGTTCAATCCATTAAACTACATGTAGTACATGTAGGTCTCATTATTTAATAGCCTTGTGGACTGTGGCAGTGGTAGTGGCCCTGTCAGTTATCTCTATGGCTGAGTATTAAGTAGTATTTGTTCCTATAGCTTGTATAGTGAACATATTTTAGATTATAGTTGCTAATAGGTTGTGGGATGGCCCTGTTTAGACGAATGAAATTCCCCCGAGATTGTCATGTGTTACACACCAGAACCTTGAAACATCCTCTTCCTTGTCATCACTCATAGCTGTTAATGCCTGTTATTAAATACAGCATTTTATGGCTTCTTGTGTTCATTTCAATTGCTATGAATATTATTATATGGGCCTTTATTAGAATAACTTCATAATTTTGTTTTATACTATTGTACAGTGCATTCTTTTGTAAATGTGAAATGGGTTCTTGTGACAAAACTTGCAATAGAATCGTGCTAGCATTCTCTTTCTTAATACGTATTTATATTATTTTTAACAAGTTTTCTTATAACAAAAATCCTATAATATCTATTCTCTAATGATTGAATCTTTCTAATGAAAAAAAAAAACTACAAAATGACTAATACTAGTTTGCTAATATGCTCTGAGGCATGCATTAATGAATGTAAGTTCCTTTATCTCTCCTTCTTAGAATCTTTTCTTGTGATATTCCCTCCTCATCCTCCAGTAGGGCTTCCTTTCAACCTCGTATCCCTGCTCCTCGTTATATTCTTGGTTGTACACGTATTCCTTACGGTTACTGTTGTCTTCAAACACAGGATACTCCTCTACTAACCATTCTCTGTTCTTATTGCTTGCTACAGTGATGCCGCCGCAATAATCCCTGTTGAATGCTTCAATTCTAGCTCTTATTTCCGGATATTTGTTAATATGTCCAGCGTCCAGTACTTTTCTTACACGATCACACTGGATACCACCGCTTGTTATAAAATTAACTTTGTCCTTCTTACTGTAAGAAAGGGTAAAGAAACCATTCCCACAGTGAAGATGAGGGTATTTTTCTCCATTTGGGAAAAATTCCCTGCCGTCACAGTATTCTTTATAGCTCTTTGCTTCAGCAGCATTTATAAGGATAAAGGACAAGAGACACAGAGCGATCAATGGAAGCTTCATATTCTTTACTGGTATCTACTCCTCAACTGAACTAGGTCACTCTCTGAGCCTCAATAAATACTCTTCTTTACTGATTGACTGTCTACAACGGAACTGCATGTATTTCACTGTTGTGTAACTGTAACAGTGTTCACCAGAAGTAAGTGGTTTACTATTATGTTTTTACCAAGAAAGGAACCACAACAACAACTATTTACAAGAATCACATATTTATAGCAAGATACAAATCTGGAACATTCTAGTTCAGAATGTTCCAGGAAACATAAAAGAATAGTCCAGTATATGAAAAAGAATAATCTAGAATGTTCTTAAATGGTTCACAAAAATTAAATGCCTGTTCTAGCTTGTTCCTACTACCGTATAACGCTTTAATTTGGCGGAGTTTTATTTTGGTGATTGGCGGAGTTTTATTTTGGTGATTGGCAGTTTGCAAGCAAGATTGCCAATATTAAAACCACCAATCATTAATGCACATGCTCAGTAATGCACATGTACACAAAAATCGCCAAATTAAAAACCGTCAATTACAATTTTGCAGCAAAATCACCAAAATAAAGCGTTATACTATATTACATTTCTATCTCCTTCAGTGCGAAGCACAACTATTCTTGAGAGGGTATCTGCATTTGCACTATTTCGCCCCCTCTTATGTTCCATGTCTTTACCATCTTCAGTGACATTGTTAACAACACATGTCAGGCTCACCTTCTTTGAAAATCTTCAGATGTTTAACATGAAAAACTTGTCTCCTGTATGATTTCGGTATAGTAATCTTTGCATACCCTGTCCCTGGGGAGTCTCTAGGCTGCCAGATTCTACGTTTCTTCCCACCAATCGTTTTTATTTGTTGTGGGTCTTCCCTCTGGATCCGTATCTGTACCTCTGGGTCTTTCTCTTGTTCCGTCTTAAGTAACGCTGCTTCCATCTTTTCTGTCCTTTTCCAGGTCAATTTTATTTTTCTCCTCTCTGCTCTAGTTTTCTTAGGTCTATCTTCGCTAGGTTTAGGAAACATTTCATCCATTAATAGAAATTCATCTCCTGGTATCCATTGTCCTTGCTCTGAAGTAGTCCTCTGCTTCTTCTCTGAAGTAGTACTATGCCTTTCCTCTGGAGTAGTACACTGCTTTTCCTTCAAAATAGTACTCTGATGCTCCCCTGAAGTAGTACTCTGCTTCTCCTCTGGAGCAGTACTCTGCTTCTCCTTCAAAATAGTACTCTGATGCTCCCTTGAAGTAGTATTTGGCTTCTCCTCTGGAGTAGTACACTGCTTCTCCTTTGAAGTAGTACTCTGCTTCTCCTCTGAAGTAGTACTCTGCTTCTCCTCTGGAGCAGTACTCTGCTTCTCCTTCAAAATAGTACTCTGATGCTCCCTTGAAGTAGTACTCTGCTTCTCCTCTTCTTTCCTTGCATGTTCATACCACCCTTGTCTCTTCTGTGACCTTGTCTTTTTTTTTCTTTGTTTTCCCTCCTGTAGAAACATGTCATCAGCAAACTGCAGCCCGACATTCAACCAGCTGTAATTATTCCTCTCCTCCTGTGGATGATCTCCAATAATCTAGAATGTTCTTAAATGGTTCACAAAAATTAAATGCCTGTCCTAGCTTGTTCCTACTATTACAGTAACTCAACTAATCTACCTAACAGTGACACGCAGAAATTTATTATTCTTTGTCTCCTGAGAGGCAGCTGTTATTCATGGCCAACCTTACATTGTACTTAGGGACAAGGCAACTAAGCTAGTGTTTACTTTACAGTGAGATGGCCATGCATGATAAAATCTAAAAACTAATAGGAAACAGTTCTATTGCTTGCATTATGTTTCAAGCTTCATTGACTCCTGTATAAACTGTGTATAGCATGCAACTACTGTATAGCGAGTAATTTTCGACTGGTGCTTATTTTCGTCTGTTTCGTTGCTATTAATTCTGAACGAAAATTAATTCTGATGAAAATTAATTTTGAAGATAGGTGTGGCCATAATAAATTATTAATAACATGATCAATAAACATGGATGGCCCTGAAAACGGTGCTCACCTTCTAATGAATCTCTTCCAGACCCACAGGACCAGGGGACCTCTTTGTAATGCTATCAGTCCTACAGATGCTAGTGAAGACATAAAATCAATTATTTTTGCCTAGTCGAAAATAAAACCAACGAATTTTTATTCTAAAGTCATTTCTGGTTTCAGTCGAAATTTTCAACCACCGAAAATTACCTGCTATACGGTGTTTGCAACAAATGTTGCAGTGTGTCTAATAGATCTCATTATTAACTGTATCCTTGTTTCATGTAAATACATTTAGCAGAATTTAATGGCTTCCTGGGTTTGCTATGACTATTATTATTATTATTATAGAATAAATGTGCATTCTTTTATAAAAGCTAAACGGATTCTTGTGACAATACTTGCAATAGAATCACACTTGCATTCTATTTCTTAATACGTTACAGCAAAATCCTATATTATCTATTCTCTAATGATACTAAAAACAGCTACAAATGACTAATACTACATGTTGTTTGCTAATATGCTCTGAGACATGCATTAATGAATGTAAGTTCCTTTATCTCTCCTTAGAATCTTTTCTTGTGATATTCCCTCCTCATCCTCCAGTAGGGCTTCCTTTTAGCCTCGTATCCCTGCTCCTCGTTATATTCTTGGTCGTACACGTATTCCTTACGATTGTTGTAAGGTTTGCTGTATTCCCCTTTCTCGTTATTTTGGTAGTAGTCCTTATGGTTACTGTTGTTTTTAAGCACAGGAGTTTCCTTTGCTAATAATTGACTGCTCGTATCGCATGGTACAGTGATGCTTTCGCAGTAATCCATATAGAATTTTCTGATTGGATTTTGTATTTCCTCGTGTTTGTTAATATCGCCATATTCAGAGGGAAAATCTAATACTTTCTTGACATTACTGCACTGGACACCTTTGCTTCCTATAAAATTAACATGCTTGCTTCCTCCACTGTAAGAAAGGGTGAAGAAATCTTTTCCACAGTGAAGATGAGGGTAACTAATGCCAGGTACAAATTCCCTGTTGCCACAGTAGTCTTTCTTAAAGTTTGCTTCAACAGCATTTATAAGAATAAAGGACAAGAGACACAGAGCGATCAATGGAAGCTTCATATTCTTTACTGGTATCTACTCCTCAACTGAACTAGATCACTCTCTCTGAGCCTCAATAAATGCATTCATCACTAATTAACTGTCAACAACTGAACTACATGTAATTCACTGTTTTGTAACTCAACTAATCTACTGCCTAACAGTGACACGCATTAATTTATTATTCTTTGTCTCGTGAGATGCAGCTGTTATTCATGGCCAACCTTACATTATACTTAGCCACAACAAGTCAACTAAGTGTCTACTTTACACATACAGTGAGATGGTTACAAGTGTACATCATATACTGATGCGTGTATATGGACTATGGAGTAATAATTTCTCGTGTATCAAAGTATACAGAATTACCACTAGCAATAGCATGCTTCTTTTACTAGATCCTGATGTTATATTACTTGAGATATACCATTTTATGTACACACTCACTTTATACAGTATATGTATAGTTAATGTCTCACTAAGTACTCGTACATACATGTACATGTAATTAGTGATTTTGCTTTGATAAATTGCTAAATAAATTCTTAAAAACTAATAGATCTCGTTATTAAATGTAACCTTGTTTCATGTAATAGCAGAATTCAATGGCTTCCTGTGTTTGCTATGGAAATTAATATTTTAATAGAATAAATAGATGGGCTTTTATTAGAATAACTTTATAATTTTATTTTGTGCGATTGTACAGTGCATTTTTTTGTAAATGTGAAATGGATTCTTGTGAGAAAACCTGCAATAGAGTCACACCTGCATTTTCTTTCTTAATACGTATTATTTTTAACAAGTTTTCTTATAGCAAAATCTATTCTCTAATGATTGAATCTTTCTAATGAAAAAAAAACTACAAAATGACTAATACTAGTTTGCTAATATGCTCTGAGGCATGCACTAATGAATGTAAGTTCCTTTATCTCTCCTTCTTAGAATCTTTTCTTGTGATAGTCCCTCCTCATCCTCCAGTAGGGCTTCCTTTCAACCTCGTATCCCTGCTCCTCGTTATATTCTTGGTCGTACGCGTATTCTTTACGATTGTTGTAAGGTTTCCTGTATTCCACTACCTTACCATCTTGATAATATTCTTTATGGTTACTGTTGTCTTCAAACACAGGATACTCCTCTACTAACCATTCTTCGTTCTTATTGCGTGCTACAGTGATGCCGCCACAATAATCCCTGTTGAATGCTTCGATGCCATTTTTTATGTCCTCATATCTGTCAAAATCGTCATATTCAGAGGGAGAAGCCAGTACTTTTCTTACATTACTGCATTGGGGACCATTGCGTCCTATAAAATTAACATGATCGTTTCCTCCCCTGTAAGAAAGGGTAAAGAAACTATTATCACAGTGAAGATGAGGGTATTGATCTTTATTTGGCAAAAATTTCTTGCCGCCACAGTATTCTTTATAGGCTTCAACAGCATTTATAAGAATAAAGGACAAGAGACACAGAGTGATTAATGGAAGCTTCATATTCTTTACTGGTGTCTACTCCTCAACTGAACTAGGTCACTCTCTGGACCTCAATAAATACTCTTCTTCACTAATTGACTGTCTACAACTGAACTGCATGTAATTCACTGTTGGTAACTTAACTGATCTACTGCCTAACTGTGACAAGCATTAATTTATTATTCCTTGTCTCCTGAGATGCAGCTGTTATTCATGGCCAACCTTACATTATACTTAGCCACAACAAGTCGACTAAGTGTCTACTTCACACATACAATGAGATGGTTACAAGTGTACATCATATACCAGTACGTGTATATGGACTATGTAGTAATAATTTCTCCTGTCTCGAAGTATACAGAATTACCACTAGCAGTAGCATGCTTCATTTACTAGATCCTGATTCCTGATGTTATATTACTTAGTAGAGGCCATTTTGTGACCGTATACACTTGTACATAATACAGTATATGTATAGCGGATGTTTCATTAAGTATCCGTACATACGTGTAACTAGTATTTTTGGAATTTGATAATTCACTAAAATAAAATCCGCCAATTTGAATATTACTCAATGACATGTGGCAACAATTAATTCACCGACCTCCAAATTACATTAACAATTTGTTAGTAACTTCTGCTATACTTTAATCTAAAGATTACTATTGTAGCATATTATGTTTATGTGTTTTATGCGTATAATGTAGCTGTGTCTTGATCCTGCTAAATACCGTATGACGCTTTAATTTGGCGGAGTTTTTATTTTGGTAATTGGTGGTTTGCAAGCAGAATCGCCAATATTAAAACCGCCAATCATTAATGCGCATGCTCAGTAATGCATGTGTACACAAAAATCGCTAAATTAAAAACCGCCAGTTGCAATTTTACAGCAAAATTGCCAAATAGAGCGCTGCCAAAATAAAGCGCTATACGGTATACTGTGAATCAGTAAACAGGATATCCTCATATCACAGTGCTATTGTTGTATCGAATGCAAGCAGCAATGATAAACACGAAAGTATAAATAATGACTTCTATAAATAAGGAAATAGAAATTATGCACATATCATTTCCTATATATTTTATGATGGAGCAATTTTTTAGCTTTGAATGATGAGTAGCTTTTTCCTCTTAGCCAGCTAGTTTACACAAACACAATAGTCTTCGATTCTTTGTATTGTCTACCGGCCTTATTTATGCATACAATTTGATTTGAAAGAATAAATTTGTGATCATATTTATGAATATGTAAAGTAGTTTAGCCTGGACTCCTAATTTTTAGTTTTTTAATAGACACCAATTTTGTTCTTGTCAAGCTTTCGACAACATTTAATTTAGTCATTATTTCTTGCAATTTAGGCAAAGTCTTACGATCCACATTATACAAGATTGCTACTAGGTTACTACAACCAAGAGTAGATTGCTACAACTTGTGCATGTACATGTACATGTTTATGTACATGTAGGTGACCTTTGTGTTGTGTCAGGAGGTAATTAATTAGCTCATCCATTCTATCACAGTTTGTCATTATCTCTTTATGATAATAGTTATTAATGTTATCAATTATTTTTAACAGAAATGCCTTTATTGAAAATTGCTATGAAAAAAAACTATAAACTAGCTACAAATGTGCTCTAAAGTCACTGTATAAAATTTATTTAAGAGTAATGTACATGTATCAGTTCTGCATGTGTCTTTAATTCCAGTCAGGCTGCTCTTTGTCATCCCTGTATTCCACTTCTCTCCATTCTTGTTCCTCATCCTCATCATCATCGTCTTGGTGATATCCCTTCTCTTGCTTCCAGTGAGGCTTCATTTCATTATTGTTTTCCTCCTCCTCCTCATCATCTTCTGTCTTATGTTTCTTATCCATACGATTCTTGTTGATGTCATAAACACTTTCTTCAGCAATAGGACCTGGGCCCAGTTCTTCAGCCAAAGGACCTCGACCCAGTTCTTCAAACGTAAGATCCTCTTCTTTGAGCAGCTCTTCATTCTTATTCCTTTCTTCAAATAGTTTTTGACACTCGTCGTCATCAAATTTTATAATGGCAGCTGTTATTGCAGGAATTCTGTTAAAATTATCATATTGCTCAGGAGAGCCCAGAACTTTATTGATGTTGCTACACATGGCACCTTTTTTCCCTATGAAATTAACATGCTTCTTCCCCCCTTTGTAAGAAAGGGTGAAGAAACGCTTCCCACAGTGAAGATGAGGGTATTTAGTACCTGGTACAAATTCCTGGTTCCCACAGTAGTCTTTCCTATAGTTTGCTTCAACAGCATTTATAAGAATAAAGGACAAGAGACACAGAGCAATCAATGGAAGCTTCATATTCTTTACTGGTATCTACTATCTACTCCTCAACTAAACTACATGTAGGTCACTCTCTCCACCTCAATAAATACTCTCTCACTCATTGTTTATTTTGATGACAATGTACACATGTACATGTAGTTATGAATTAATTGATATTTTGAGTTTCTGTCTCTATACAATATTTAGTGGCGATGTTCCTCATCCATGCATCAATGATAATCATCAATCACAATTGTGTGTATTAGAGCGCATCTAATGTAATTAACATTTAAGTTGTCAATTGCACCGAATGTTATCATAATTGGGGCGAGCATGAGTGAGCCCCACTCAGGCAAAGTCTCCCTCCCTCCCTCTGTATGTATGTACCTACGTCTCCAGTCACGCCTATTCTGGTCACACCCCATGTGTGCACTACTCTCTATTTAAAATCAATGATCTAATGTGGTAGCTTTCTGAATAAATATTTTTGTGGGTGTGGTTGCAATGAAACAAATTGCAAAATGGCGACTATCAAGTTTATGTGAAACCAGCTATAGATAAATACTTATTGGTAATCAATAAATACTCTTCTTCACTAATTAACTGTCAACAACTGAACTGCATGTAATTCACTGTTGGTAACTCAACTGATCTACTGCCTAACAGTGACACGCAGTAATTTATTATTCTTTGTCCCCTGAGATGCAGCTGTTATTAATTGACTACATTAAGGACAACAAGTCACTAAGAATTTACTTTAATATACAATGAGATGGTTATGCATCATATACATGTATATGTACTATGTGATAATAATTTCTCCTGTCTCGAAGTATACAGAATTACCACTAGTAGTATGCTTCTTTTATACTAGATCCTGATGTTATGATATTCACTAGAGGCCATTTTGTGACCATATACGCGTGTACATGTATGTTATACAGTATATGTATAGGTAATGTTTCATTAAATATCCATACATGCACATGTATGATGTAACTATTAATTTCACAATTTGATAATTCGCTAAAATAAAATCGGCCGATTTGAATATTACTCATGGCATGTGGCAACAATTAATTCACCGACCTCCAAATTACATTAACAATTTGTTAGTAACTTCTGCTATACTTTAATCTAAAGATTACTATTGTAGTATATTATGTTTATGTGTTTTATGCGTATAATGTAGCTGTGTTTTGATCCTGCTAAATACCGTATGACGCTTTAATTTGGCAGAGTTTTATTTTGGCAATTGGTGGTTTGCAAGCAGAATCGCCAATATTAAAACCGCCAATCATTAATGCGCATGCTCAGTAATGCATGTGTACACAAAAATCGCCAAATTAAAAACCGCCAATTGCAATTTTACAACAAAATTGCCAAAATAAAGCGCTGCCAAAATAAAGTGCTATACAGTATACTGTGTATCAGTAAACAGGATGTTCTCATATCACAGTGCTATTGTTGTATTGAATGCAAACAGCAATGATAAACATGAAAGTATAAACAATGACCTCTATAGATAAGGAAATAGGAATATATTTTGATAGTAAGCACATATCGTTTTTTGGACAAAACCATGGGTGTAGCCTTGTTATGATCAAGCAATTTCTTAGCTTTAAATGATAAGTGGCCTTTTCCTCTTAGCCAGCTAGTTCACACAAACACTATAGTCTTTGATTCTTTGTTTTGTATGCCTTATTTATGCATACATTTTGATTTGAAAGAATAATTTTGTGATCATATTTATAAATATTTAAAGTAGTTTAGACTCCTAGTTTTTTGTTTTTTAATAGACTCCAATTTTGTTCGTGTTGAGCTTTCGACAACATTTAATTTAGTCATTATTTCTTGCAATTTAGCCAAAGCCTTACTATTCACATTATATAACATTGCTACTAGGTTGCTATAACCAAGAGTAGATTGCTATAACTTGTGCATGTACATGTACATGTACATGTACATGTAGGTGGCCTTTGTGTTGTGTCAGGAGGTAATTAATTAACTCATTCATTCTATTATATCTCTTAGTTATTAATGTTACCAATTATTTTTAACAGAAAAGCCTTTATTGAAAATTGCTATGAAAAAAAACTATAAACTAGCTACGAATGTGCTCTAAAGTCACTGTATAAAGTGTATTTAAGAGTAATGTACATGTATCAGTTCTGAATGTGTCTTTAATTCCAGTCAGGCTGCTCTTTGTCATCCCTATATTCCACTTCTCTCCATTCTTGCTCCTCATCATCATCATCATCTTGGTGATATCCCTTCTCTTGTTTCCAGTGAGGCTTCATCTCATTCTTGTTTTCCTCCTCCTCCTCATCATCTTCCGTCTTATGCTTCTTATCCATACGATTCTTGTTGAAGTCATAAACACTTTCTTCAGCAATAGGACCAGAACTCTGTTCTCTAGCAATAGGACCTAGACCCAGTTCTTCAAACCTAGGATCCTCTTCTTGAAACAGCCCTTCATTCTTATTCCTTTCTTCAAATAGTTTTTGACACTCGTTGTCATCAAATTTTATAATGGCATTTGCTATTGCAGGAACTGTGTTAAAATTATCATATTGGCCAGGAGAGCCCAGAACCTTCTTGACGTTGCTACACATGGCACCTTTTTTCCCTATGAAATTAACGTGCTTCTTCCCACCATTGTAAGAAAGGGTAAAGAAACGCTTCCCACAGTGAAGATGAGGGTATTTAGTACATGGCACAAATTCCTGGTTGCCACAGTAGTCTTTCCTATAGTTTGCTTCAGCAGCATTTATAAGAATAAAGGACAAGAGACACAGAGCGATCAATGGAAGCTTCATATTCTTTACTGGTATCTACTCCTCAACTGAACTAGGTCACACTCTCCACCTTAATAAATACTCTCTCACTCATTGTTTATTTTGATGACAATGTACACGTACATGTGTACATATAGTTATGAATTAATTGATATTTTAAGCTTCTGTTTTCTATACAATATTTAGAAGAAATGTTCTTCATCCATGCATCAATGATAATCACAATTGTGTGTATAAGAGCGCAGCCCCTGTAATTCACATTTAGGTTGTCAATTGTGCCAAATGTTATCATAATTATAATGTATGACAGTTTGTAGTACATGTAGGTAAGTAGCTATTGATAATAAGTAATGGATTGGATTGCATTTACCTTAAAGGAAACACTTATTGTATCTTTCTGGGGTATCATATGCTCTAACTTGATATCATGTACTGGGGTATATAGTTACAGGGAAGTGAGAGGGAAGTGATCAGAATAGTGGGGTGATTGGACTGATGTTTGACTCTATTAGTGAACAGATTTTGCTATTCTGCTGCACCTTGGCTTTCAAACTACTCAACATGTATCAATTAACCTTGGAACTAGATTCTCACTTATGCACAAATAGAAGGAACTAAATTAAAATATAATATACACTATTAACTAATGTATTGCATATGATAGTCCTTGGTCCATGGATTACTTCTTATCCTTAGAGAGCATCACACTGTTGGTTGTTCTCAGACCCTTGGTCTTCTTTCTCTTGGTCTTTTTCTTGCTTTGTATCTTTGTCAATATTTTCATTTTGCTTGTTTTTAAATTTCCCGACCTGAGTCCTTGGTTTACTGTATTTCTTATTTTGATTGTTCATTTTGTTAATGGAGGCAGCCTTTGCTTTATTGTACTCTACTAAAGCACTTTCAAACTGTTGCTTTTCTTCTTCACTTCTATTGCATTCATTTTCGGCAAAATCCATCATTGATTTTTCAATTTCAGCAAATCGATAAAATGCACCAAAACCATTAGGATCCTCCAGAACTTTAAATAATTTAGCACACCTGATTATATTCTCTTTTGCAAAGTATTCATAATGATCACCTCCTCTCTTATGTTTGAGTAAAATAAAGTTTTTGTCACAGTGAAGGTGAGGTGTTTGCTTCTTACTTGTTACGAATTCTTTCTTTTGACAGTATTTATTCTTGTAATTAACTGTTGCTGCCTCTAGGAGACTGGAAGATAATAGAAACAGAGCTAGTATTGTGAACTTCATGATGGTTATGATACTAAAAGATATCCCCACTTTAAATAGGAACTATAATTGATACCCATCCAATAGTTAAAGGTAGAGACATTGTGGTTGTCTACTGTACATTCACTCAGACCCAAATCTTATTATAATGTAGTCATAGTCATGAGTGATATTGAAGGAAACTGATATTTTTTTCCTTCATGTACTTAA